GCTCAGAGCGAGGCCCTGGGGCCACACCCGCCCAGTCCCCTCCGTCACTGGGACCAGCCCCTCTGCAAGGGTAAAGCAGGCAGGCCAGGTGCACACCAGGTGTAGGAGATGCATTGGAGAGTATCACATTCACCTGCACCTGGTCCCTATTGAAGCCAGGGAGGGCTGGCAGGGCTCAGCCTTTGCAGGGAGGAGAGCTCTGGAGCAGGGGGTGATGCGCAGAGCAGCGCAGGCAGGGAGCTGTAACCCCCATGGGGAAAGGGACGACTCCAGCTGGGCATTTCTGCCTGCGCGGTGCTTGGATGCAGCCTCGTGCCCCGCCGGGGCTGCAGGGAGAGCATGGCTGCTTGGGGGAGGCTAGCTGCCGAGGCCCAGCCGGGCAGGGGTTCGGAGCCAGGCGGCAGCTGTCTCTCTCCTGCTTCTCCCTCCGTTCCTGGTGGCTTCTGCTGCCTTGCAAGTGGCAGGCAGCAGAGTGTGAAGTAGCCGGCGGGCTGGCTGCCAGGGGCGGGCAGGCTGCAGGGATGGATGGACGTGCAGCGCGGGGGCGCAGCACCCTCTGTCGGCGGACCCCGCACCTGAGCCAGGTACTGGGGTCTGGGCTTCTGCAGAGGCACCTCTGCCCCAGGGGCCTGTCTGCACGGGGCTGGTCCCTGCCCCCTGGGGCAGCACTGGTGCTCCCTGCTCGGCTGGTGCAAGGGTATGTCCTGGGCCCTGGGCACCAGCCTGACACCACTCTGCTGCGCTGCCCCTCCGCAGTGCCCTTGCCAGACTGGGTCTGACCTCCGTTGCCTAGATGAGCCCCTGAGCTGGATGTGACCTCCTGAGGTCCTTTCCCACCCTCACTTTCTGTGATTGCTAATGAAGGCCCCTCGTTAGCCACTGCCCTGCCACATGTTGGAGCTGTGCAGAGCCTGACCAGCAGGGGGCAGCGGCCGTCCACGCCTGGCCCGGCTCATGGCAGTGCCCAGCAGCAGCCGCCCACTGCGCCAGGAGCTGACCATGCTCCTCCAGCGGGTCCCCTGCATGGGGGGGGCAGTCCAGGAGCCAAGCCTGCTGCTGCCCTGGCTGGGAGGAGCGGGGTGCACACGCGTATGCGCACGCACACAGGCCTTATCCTGTTGACGCTGGGAGCCAGGCTCTGCTGGCTCTGCACACAGCGTTTCCTGGCACCGGGGCCGTGGGCTGCGCAGTTAATGTTTAACCAGAGGCAGATCCCTGGACGTGCACGGCGCCCGACGTTGCCCGGACCAGCGCTGGGGATGAGGAGCAGCCACGGGAGCCCCTGAGCCGTGGGTAAGAGCAGATCCAGGGTCCCTGCAGCACGGTCTCCCCATTCAGGCTAATGGCCCCAGGGCTCGGGACGGCGTCGGAGTCCGAGGGCGGGCTGAGTCCTCTCCCTTGAACTAGCTCGTGAACTGCCAAGAGACACCAGAGCTGCACGCACATTGCGGGCACCCAGCAACCCGTCCTTTGGACCCTGGCGCTGCTTGCATCGTGCAACGCTGAAGGCAGAAGCGTGACCACAGCTAGCATGGGGAGACGTTGGCCCCAGCCCCTGGGGTGAAGGCCGGGGAGGCCTTTCTCCAAGCAGCTGCCTGGCTCGGAGGGCGGCTTGCCACCGGGGGGCTGGCCCAGGGTTGCTCCCTGCCGATGTGCCAGGGGCCCGGTCCCTCCGGAGGGCTGGGCGAAGCGCTGGGAGCCATTCCAAGTATCCCAGGAATTTGCTCGCCTTTCAACAGCGGGAGCCGAATTGCAGCATTGCTGCAGCCCAGCCCTGGGGTGCTGGTGGGGCCGGCGGGGGGAGAGTCCACCCTGGGCTCGTGCAGGGAAGGGGCTTGTGGGGCACAATGCTGCCCCGAGCAGCCGGGGAGCTCTGCCAGCGTCTGAGGCTTGGAAGCCATTTGCAGGGACTGACGGGCAGGAGGGGAGGCGCGATGAAGCCCAGGCCAAGCCCTGGCTCGTGGCTCCTGGCGCTAGCAGCAAGAGGCCCAGGGCAGGATCGGGGCCCCTTGTGCTGGTGTTGCCCATGTGTGCAGGGAGATCAACCCCAGTTCAGAAGAGCTCTGAGTCAACCCAGCCAAGGGGGAAACTGAGGCACAAAGGGGCAGTGACATACTGGGATACCCCACGCGGTCAGTGGTGGGGCTCAGACTGAGCCCAGGGCTCTCTGGCTGGTGCTCCAGCCACTTGGCCGCGCTGCCCAGCAGAGCACAGACTTCAGGGGCTGTGGGCAAAGATGCCATTTGCAGTTGCACTGACTTCTTCCTCCTTCCAGCTCCGCTGGGCCCTGACCGGGGCAGGAGCAGGACCCCGGTGCCGCCGTGGCTGGGCTGGAGCAGCCGAGGACACATGGCGAATGCCACTTTCCCTGGAGCCACGGCCGACCGAGAAAAGAGGAGGCCGGTCCTGGCTTCAGGCAGCTTGCTGAGCAACGCGGGGCTGACGTGGGTCTCGCCAGCCTCCATTGGGGTGTCTGGGAAGCCCTACCCCACCGGGAGCGACTCGCCCAGCTCCTCGGCACCCCCCTGGCCGGCCCAGCCAGCAGTGGGAGACGTTCCCCGTGGCTCGGGCAGACCCCCGTTGAAGCCCGTGCGGCGCTTCGTCCCGCGGTCCTGGAAGAACTTTTTCCAGCGATGGAGGAGGGCGCCCGAGCCGCGTCCCCCGCTGACCCGTGCCCTGGCCGCCCAGCCGCGCTCCCCACCCGTAAGTCCCCTGCTCGTACCCACCTCTGACAGCAGCTCCCAGGAGCCCTCCTGGTCCAGCACGCAGGCAGAGCCGGTGGGGGTGATGCCTCCCCCCGGCAGCCCCCCGGCCTGGTGCAGTGAGGAGGCCAAGCTGGAGGCCTATCGCCGCAAGTACGCCTACATGAAGTCCTGGCCGGGGCTGCTGCGGCTGCTGGCGGGGCTGCAGCTGCTGTGCGGGGGCATGGTCTTCGCGTGCGTCTGCGCCTACATCCAGAAGGACTACGCCGGGGCCAGCCTGGTCGACAGCGGGCTCCTCTGGGCGGGCTCCGGGGACGGCTACTACCAGCCGATGACGCCCTTCGTGCTGACGGCGGCCGGCCTGGCGTGGCTGGCCACGGTCACCCTGCTCAGCCTGGGCCTGACCCGGTACTACCGCTCCATCCTGCTGGACTCGACCTGGTGGCCCCTGGCCGAGTTCGGCATCAGCCTGGCCCTGTTCCTGCTCTACCTGGCAGCCGCCATCGTCTATGCCAACGACGTGACCCGCGGTGGCCTCTGCTACTCCCTCTTCTCCCGCGGCCCCCTCGTCGCTGCCCTGTGCCGCGTGGCGGGGGGGCAGGTGGCCGCCCTCGCCCTCCTCTTCATCACGGCCCTGCTATACCTGGCCAGCGCCCTGGTCTGCCTCAAGATGTGGAGGCACGAGACGGCGCGTAGGCACCGGGAGCCTGCCGAGGCACCGGTGAGTCCCCAGCGGGAGACCCCTCGCCCTCTCGTGCCTCCCTGCAAGGTCAGCCCTCCCAGCATCCCAGCTCCCCAGGGCCGTGGGAGCTCCGCAGCACCGAGACGTGGCTGCGTCGGAGCACAGCCGGGCTCTTGATGCGCCTGGAGATAAGCCCCCTCGGGACTGGAGAGAGGAGCTATTGTACAGGGGGTCCCTGCCCCTCTCTTCCCAGCCCCTGCTCTGCCCACAGCTCCCCCTGGCACTGGCACACTGAGCCCTTCCCCCGCACTGGTGTGGCATCACACCCATGACACTGAGCCTCACGCCTCCCTCTCGTCTTGAAGCACAGCCCAGTCCTGCTGCCAGCAAGGCCCAAGCGCATCATCTTCCAGGATGAGGTGGTGCCCAGGAGCCAGAGGGCAAAGATCACCAAGTGCATCAGCTTCTCTGAGAAGGGCGGCGAGCCGGCCACCATGAGCTGCTCCATCCCCACGGGGCACACGCCCAAGCCGCACGTCCTCCCAGACTACGTGGTGTAAGTAGTGGCTTCCTGCCCCAGGAGCAGGCGGTGGCTAATCTACCCTGGGTGCTGGTGCTGGAGAGGGGTTGCGCTGTGCCCACTTCTGCCAGGGCCTGCACGGCTTGAGAGCAGCACCGTGGTCCTGGCACCACGTTGGTGCAGTCCTCCACGGGTTACTTAGCCCCATTTCTCATTAGGGCTGATTCTCCCAGGTGCATTGCTCCTCTGTAGAGCTCCAGCCTGGCCTTGGCTGGGGGTGCTTGGGTGGCATGGATAGCAGGGTAACAGCAAGGACGGCGTCTCGGCTGGGGGCTCATCGGCCTTTCCTGTTGAAGGGGTGTGGGGCAGGGGCTGCCTCTACCATGGGTCTCTGCAGCCTCTCTGGGGGTCTCCAGATCTTCCCAGAGCTGAGCCCCCACCAAGCTGCCGGCACCTCCCTTCCTGCCACGCATCTCGGATTTATTCCCATCCCTGGCCCCATTAGCAGGCTCTAACCCCCGCTCGGACGAACTGAGTCTTTCCTCCCAACCCCTGGGCAGGAAGTACCCGGCGATCAGCAGCCCGGAGGAGAGGGAGAAGTACAAGGCCGTCTTCTACGACCAGTACGCGGAGTACCGGGAGCTGCACGGCGAGGTGCGCGCCGCGCTGCAGAAGTTCCAGGAGCTGGACGCCATGATGGGCCGGCTGCCGCGGCGCGCGCACGGCAGGCAGGTCGGTGCCTCCTGCTAGGTCCCGGGTGGGGGAAGCCCCTGCGAGGGCTCTGGTCTGATCCGGTGGGTCAGCACGGCGAGCCGGCCCCTCACCCGCAGACCTGGCGCTGGTGGCCTGGGCAGGACCCCTGCACCGGAGAGGGAGCAGCCGGGGCTCGTGAAGCCGTCGAGAGACCACGGGCGGAGTTGCTGGCGCTCGGGAAGTTTGGCTTGGACCAGTGCTGCTGGGCTCTGCACTGGTGCAAGTCAAACCCCTGCGACCCC